TCCCAGTAGCTAGCATGGTACTGTATTTTGGATTTAGAATGAGAATAATATTTACAACACTGATGTTTTAGTTGTTGGACAGTGGTGCTTACACAAGGAGCTGATATGGCCTTGACCCTATGCTGCCCTACTGGCAAGGGGCTGGTGGGCACAAGGAGCTGGGAGGGGACAGAACCAAGACAGCCGACCCAGACTGGCCAAGGGGGTGTCCCATGCCATGTGTCGTCATGCTATTCCACTACATCCCCATAACATTATTGCCCTATAACTGCACACAGACTGCATATAAGTTTACCATAGTTCATTGGTAGATCATTCAGATTTTGACCTTATTTCTAGCCACCTTTGCATAGATAATTGGATTGAGTAGGTGACAAAAAATATTGCAGCTGTGGAATCCCTGCTCTGACTTACTATGTAAGAGAATGGTTGCCACCATGACTGCTGGAGGGCAAAGTGGAAGTCACACTGGGCCTTTGCCACTAATCGAAGGTTAGTGGGGAAAGAACTTTACCAGCCAGGACCCAGTTGTCTAGTACCCAAGTGAGACAAACAGGGCATGTCTGATGACCAAGATCAGTCCCCATCACCATGCAACTCCATAGTGATACGTGGGTCCGTGGGGATATCAGTGCAGTACATAGGCTAACAAGGGCATGGGCAAGATATAGCTCTGATAAGGCCATGGGGGAGAGCTTGGGAAGAAGCGCCACTTTTCTAGCTCTTTCTTTGAAACAGCTGTTATCAGTTGGTCTTAGATGTGGGCAAACTTTCGGCGTGGGTTGTGTTCAGGGCCCTGATGGTGAATCTGGGAGGTTGACAATTAGGATAAACTGTCTTATTTGCAAGAGGAGTAAAGGGGATGTGGAACTTGAAGGGGCCAGAATAAAGATGAAACTTGGGGTTTTGTACTTCTGTCAGTGGGGAAAAGAAGAAAGAGATTATACAGCATTTACAGATACTAATGAAATTCTTTTCTTCAGTGGCTGAGTCACTTTGTGTTTATTTCACCTGAGCATTCTTCTCACATGCGAAGTCGGACTATGCTTTCTCCTGAGTGGATTTACTGCTTCTCTGAGACATCTTCAGGAACTGGAAAACTGAGAACAAATATAGCCTCAAGAGCTCACACTTAAACTGGGAGGTGCATATATTGTGGAGGTTGTTTGCAGATAGGAAAAAAACATTCTTCCTTTTTTATTATTATCTTATGGATAAAATATATCTGTACATAAATGATGACTTCACGATGCTTGAGTTTTCCTAGTTTGCATGCTAGTCTATTAATTTCTGTGAATACTATTTTGTAAGAAATGCTAGAAATTAACAAGAAACTCTTTAAAACTATGCTTGTGTATGGTACAGTACAAAACGATTGCTGCAGTACAAAGAATAACATTGCAACAGAGAAACAGAAGAATGTAGCATGGGCAATTATATTTTTTTTAAATGTGCTTTCATAATGAAATCACTGTATGACAGACATGAGCTTAAATTCAGCGGATATCAGTGGGACTCTATATAAATCTAAACATAATTATTCTTAGCTTCCACTACGTAATTACAGAAGAGAGATGCCATAGACAAAACTGTGGGTAAGAAAAGGAGTTTATATGAATCGTTATGACTTTTTTGTCTTGTATGTTTCCAGATGTGTGCTTAGGTTCAGATTTACTACAGGCTAGCAAGTCAGTGGAGGGTGTGCTAATGTAAATAACTGGCCTTAGTTTCTGCTAATGTCAGGTCACATCTGTAAGACCAATTCCTCCTTCCACTGCTGTTTTATGTCTAGATGAAGTACTGTAGGGACACAGTGCATCTGAAGTAATATCACTGAAATACGATTATATCCTAAATTTTGAAGGCACGTTATTAAAAATGTGTGAGCCTTTTTACTTTTTTTCTCTATTTGCAGACCGAATGCAAAATACTAATATCCTGTTAATGGAGCATGTCTCATCCTTTTTAAAAACAGTAAATAAATTCACCAGATGCAAGGCAGGAGTTGGCAGCATAATTTTCTATTTTACTGTATACATATGTGGCAATTGTATTTTACAGTAGAAGAATTCATTAAAATATTTGTTGCTTGAAATATTAAGCATGACTCTGAGGCACGCTAAGTGTTTGGAGTAACAATTTGGGGTCACCTGGTGTTTCCAGACATCCCAGCTATGTGTCACCCCACAGTGACAGCACTTACATGCCAGAAGACTTCACTGCAATCTCAGCACAAAGACAACTGATAGTTTTGCTGAGTTGTAGTGGTTACTCATGCTGTAGCCTGAGCTTCACTGACGTCACCAAAGCTTTGTCCCCTTGTGCCAACAGTGCCTTTGGCCCATGTTTCCTTCAGTTGAGTTCGCTGGCATTATCTGGTGACTACAACAACATTAGACAGCACTTGGCAAGACAGAACATCTGTGTTTCTACACAGAACAATGTGTTGGTTATTACAAAGGACAAACAAAAGTGATGAGATTCTGATTTTAGTTCCATCTTGCCTGACAGCCTGAATAATAATGCTTGAATTCATTTCAAAACAGAATAAACCAGTATTCCTGTTATGAATATATTCAATTCATGGTTTTATAAACAACCATTAATATCACAGTATTTAGGAGGAATGCTGTGTCACTGATACAGCAACAGTGTGCTTGCACATGTAGTTCTTGTCTCCTAAATAGCTTGAAATTCAAGTACTGCCCAGGCATAGCTGTGACTAAGACAAAGGCACTGCTAAATGGCAGAGACCTTTCACACTTGAGGTTTCCAGCTTAATGCGATGAAGTTTATCCTTCTCTACTGACCTCTTTAATACCTGGCGTAATCTCTCTGTTTGAAAAATGTGTTTGTATGCATTAACATATCTCATAGCAGTTCACAAGGGAAATACTACACAAATTTGTGTAACTAAAGCAGTAAGGTTTGGCGTGCTGAGATACTGAATTCTGATTTTCTATGTTGTGAAATACTCATCTTTCAATTTTCTTCCTATTCTGTGATGAGAACAGAACGCTTTGTCCTTCGGTGCATTTTACTCTAAAATTCACTGTAGAAATACAATGGGCTGCAAAGTACAGAAGCACGAAAGCACTGCTATAACATACTTTAAAAACAAAACTTCAGGAGCAAAACCCAAGGAACTCCAGAGTTAGCACCTTAACAGTTTTTCCTCTCTTGAATACGAGCAGGAAGGTCTTTTGCAACTGGATCAGAGCGTGCATATAAAATGCAGTGTCCTATAGTGCCACTGTCATACCCAGTGCGTGAACTACAGGAAAACAGAATTCCTCTTTCCAGTGTTGGTGGATGATTTGTCACATTCCTTTGTGCTGTGGAGATGCTTTATGAAAGACTTTAACTGTAACACATTGTAAAATGGAAACAGCTGTAAGAGACATAGTTCTATCTGCTGTACGTTTTCAATTTTGGTCATACAATACTGAAACAGTCTTGGTTGCACTATGAATCTAATAGGAGAAAAGGGTGAGGGTTACATTAGTTTGCTATAATGGCTTAAATCTCTTAATTTTTTGCAGGTCCTCTTGCACTTCTGTGTGCGCACTGACCAAGTCCAGCCTTGCTTGAAGAGCTAGTATAACTCCTAGGTGCTGGTGGGTGGTAGAAAGTGATTTTATTGTTTTAACTGAAGCCAACAGAAACAAAATACTAGTTGAAAAACAGAAAACGGGTGCTACGTGCTGATACTTGTCCTGTAAAAGCTGTCAAGCTCCACAAGACAGTGCAAAGGGCTCAGCCACTGACCATTTTCCTGGAGCACGCAGCTATTCCTGCTTCTGCTGATTCCTAAACATCCTTATTCAAGGCATGCATGAGACATTCCAAAGCACTGAGCTGTTGCAAGATGCCAAAATGAACCAGGATGATACAGGGAAGCTGAGCACAGCTTGCTTCCAGAGGAAATGTAGACTTCTCTGAGCACAAACGTTTTTGTGCCAGTGTTAGCAGAGAAAATCCTCTGTAGGCATCCATCTCGGCTGCCTAATTACAGATGCGCATACATTCTGCATAATATATTTATTGGAAAACAGTTGCAGCATTTTATAACAGCCAGTAGGAAAAAAGCCCACAAGTTTAGCTGGGCATTTAGAGGGGTTTAGGGTTCTGGCATCTGTCCTATACAATGAATGCACACTCTGGAAGGAGAGCTGGCAGATATGCCTGCTGAGCAAAGCTGCCCTTGGCCAGCAAGACAAAGTGATGGGAGGGCTCCTGTACGGTTTATTTCTGTCACAATGTGTAATCAGGTGGCCTTAAAGCTGTACTTTGATAAAAACTTCAAGCTGGTGTAATTTGGCTCTGCTTCTGCAGAGGAGCCATGCTGTTGGCTGCCTTGCTACCCCTCTGCTGCCTGAATCAAACCCCTGGTGGTGCCGGGGGGTGAGTTGGCTGAGGAAAGCGATCCAACTGTAAAATAATCCTGTTTTTGTTTCCTGGGGTACTTTGCAGGCAGATCACTTCACTCATCTGGCCAATTGGAAGGATTCAGACCGCCTGCACTGGTGCACAGCAGGCAGGGAAAGGCGGGATGGCTGCTTCCTGCACAGTGCTGCTTGTATTGTGGCTCAGCCCCACACGGGGCACCAACACAAGAACTTGCAGCCAGTTTTCTGCCCCTCTCCCTTCCCGCAACTTTTGGGGCTCAGTTTAGCAAGTCAATCTTGTGTGCCATTTCAGTCACCACCCAGCCTAGCTCTGGGACCGGGTGGGTCAGGGCCTGGGGTTGTGCAGGCTGAGCTGCTGGGAGGAAAGCGGAGTTCCTCTCCTTGCAAGGAGGGGCCTGATGGGGTCAAGCCTCTGCCATGCCTGAACCCTGCCAGTCTAAGCTTCCTTACACAGCTTATGGCATGAACAGAAGCTCCAGCAAAGCCCCTGCTGCTCCCAGGGGCCCTGGGTCTGAGTGCCTCAGGATCAGAGTGGTGCTGGCAAGCTCTGTACCGGTTTGTGCTCAGAAACTGGGAGAAGGGCAAATAAGAGACAAGCAAGCCTATTAGTATTTATTATCTGTATTATAGCACCTCAGTGCCTAGTCACAGACAGAACTGCATCCTATGAGCACCGTGCAAACCCCAAATGAAAGTACTACAGTACCTGCCCCGAGAGGCTTACAGCCTAAGTTTCCAGAGAGATGTGGGGAGATGGAGAGGTGAAAAGGAACGGTGACAGCACAATGATCACTGTGACAGCATTGTTTTGATGACAGGAAATATCCAAGTTCCTAAAAGCTTAGTTGCACTGTGGCTTTCTTCACCTGGTCAATGCTTTGTATTTCTCATGGGGAAAAAAAAGCATCAAGAAAATCCCACAGAATTCATGTTATATTCAGTGAAAACATTTTTCATTACAAGAAACACATGTAAGGTCATTTTTACAAATTATTGTTCAGTTTCTGTGTTTTAAGAAGATATCTGAACACGTTTACAAAGACTACACATGCAGTGTAAAAAAGTTTTAAAATTTTTAACTGTTTCTTTTTAACTCATTCATGTATTTAATTTGCACTCTTGGAGAAAAGAGTTATCTTTTTATTCAACTTTTTAATAAAAAATTAGAAGTGATTTCATTTCAACCACAACTGTTATGGACACTGTTGTATCCCCTCTGTGCCCAAGATTTTAAAAATAACTTAAATAGAAACAGTCACCGTGGCATAATTAAAAACAATGGACAAGGACATAATACAAGGACAGGGAACAAGTGGGTATTGAGGAAAAATATATAACTGATTTTACAAGTTTCTCTGATCAAAATCTGTGATTGCAACTTTGTGTGAGAAGGGCATGTAGTTCACAACTAACTTTTTTGCAAGCATATCTTATGTGCATATTAAGAACTTCCCCGTAAAGGGCTGAATCCTGTCGTTCTTCTTCAAGTTTCACTAAAACCAACCCCTCTGTGACACTGCACTCTATTCTGCTACTGTGTGTCATGGTTAATACTGCAAGCAACTCAGTGGAGTTCAATATCCCTGGTTTTATATGTCATTATTCTATGGTACTAAGAGTTCGCAGGTTTCTTGTAGTGGCCTGCAGGACAGTATGATTTATGCCCATGAAATAGGATAAAAGGGGAGAAGAATTAGGTGGACAGTTTATAAAATCATAAAAGCAATTTCCATGATCAGCTCTGTTCTCAGCTATTTGGTTAGCCCCTGCTGAAGACGTGTAAGTAACGTTCTTCATCTGAATAAAACTTCCAATATTAACTTTCTTTTATGCATTCTCTAAATTGCCATGAACATCCAAGATATCCATGTATATATGCACATAGACATACACGTGTATGTCTGCATGTATCTATGTGCGTACGCATGTCTAGGTGTACCTCTATGCACAAACAGACATACATATATATATACCTACACATACCTATGGATATTATAGCTGTGACATAGCTAGGAAACAATAATGTCATTTTTACTGCATCCTTAAGTATCATAGAACGAGGGTATTATAGGCACACATTAACTACTTATCCTTACTAAAGTCCTAAAAGCTCATTTACCTGAGATCTGCTTCTGTAAAAATAAAGTTCAGTTTTTAGCTGCATGTTACAAAAGACTAAATATCAGCCCCACAAATATGAAATTACAAGTTACTTTGAAACTAGAGCTACCAGTAAAATATGCTATCCTGTAAAAAAGATACTGCTGAAAGAGATACATATTAAAAAGGAAACATGATTCTTAAACGTTTAAAAATCTCTCTATGCCTTCCTATATTGTAATAAATTTATAAAAAAATATTTGACACAGAAAATCTCCTCAGAAAGCATTCTGCTGAGGTCACGTACCCTTCAAGCCACTCATCTTGCAAAGGTTACATAGTTCAGGAGAGCAGACTCCAGATTACATGTACTTAATTTCCATCAGTTTTCATCATCCCGCCCGTAGTGAATAGTTTCTATTTCCTGAGCTATGAACATCGCCATCTCTCTGGTGCCCGCAGCAACCACTCGGCAGGACATGAGATCCAGAGGTCCCCCTGAGGACAAGAAGGTTAATGAGAACTATCTCATAAAAAGGCAACGAGTTCTAAAATATAAACCACACTGTAATTACAAGGACAACCTAATTCAGGAGCTCCTGTCTTGAAATCTCTTGCACAAAAATGATTTCAGAAATTTCTAGACATTCTAGAATGCAACAGAAGTAGTGGATGTTTAGATTTCTTCAGTACCCAACAATAAGTGCAGTATTTCCTTCATTTAGTAACAGAAAGGGATAGGCCAAAAATTAGTTCCATCAGCATACCCTTCTTAATACACAGAATCTTTCCATGATATCGACATACTGGTCACCAGGAATCTATTACTCTGTGTCTTTATATGTGTATCATATAAATCAACAAAATAATCCAGAGGCTGTGTTGTCCTTTATGCCCTCTAGTCATATCTGTTCAGATGTGTACCTGAGAGTGCATCTATCTTGGAAGGCTGTCTGCTGAAACTGTCTGGAGTCTGAGCATGTCTACCAAACTCAAGGGCTAGCTCTTTACAGTAAATCTGATGCTTTAAAGGAATTACATCAAGTCACTGAAATATAGTTTGACTCAGAAGACCTCTGATGTGATGAAACCCCAGGCTGGAATTACATCACTGTGGTATGACTAACTCAACAAAGTCTAGTGGAGAGTGCAGACGTTCCTGCCAAACACTGCCAGAAGTGAGACTGAGCCACAGGAGGACTGTACTGAGGTGATTCCAGGTGCCTGAAGCAGCCACGTGGTCCCCCAAAAGTCCATGAAACAGGAGTACTGCACTCACCTGAAGTGTCTATCACAGTGCCACCTGCCTCTCTAATGATGACAGTAGCTGCTGCCAAGTCCCAGCAGTGTAACCCAAACTGGTAATATGCGTCGGCAGCACCAGATGCCAAATGGCACAGAGCCAGGGTGGAGCTTCCAATCACACGGACCCTGAGCACAGCAAGGAGACAAAGAAACACAAAGCAGAAAACGCCTTTGATTTCAATCTGCGTGTCAAGATTGAAAAACGTGCAACATGGTTGATTTTTTTTTCATGACTTTGGGTCATGAGACACATACTGTAAGATATCTTACCCGTGTGCTTGGGCCTTGAGCAACCTCTCAATGTTACCAAGGAACAATTTCAAAGTTGCAGGGTCACGTTTTGGACCAATTTCTGTTAAAATTAAGGCCTTCGAGATATCTGCAATGGAGGTAGTTGTTTTCATTAATTCAACAGTTTCCTGGAGCTTCTGGAAATTTGTTTGAATTAAACACTAATGGACTCTTTACAGGAAAACAATTTTCATGTCCCCCCCTTTTTTTTTCACCCCAAAATCTAAGGTTAGGTTAAGTGGCAACTTCACATAAAAATTCAAGCAAGGCTATATTTCTGCTATCAAACAGTCTGATCTCAACACTTTTTTCTTTTAAAGAACAGGAATATTAAAAACAAGAAAGCATTCCTTACATGTCATCTGTTTCCATACATTGTTTTATTTCATATACCAGTCAGCTTTTAGAAAATTCAAAGACTTCATCAGTCAACAAAAAAACAATGCAATTATCTAGTAATTATTAATGGCACTAAATTAATCATATTTAAAAACAGAATGGTTCCTGAATAGGAAACTTCAGTGTAACTTATTAATAAATTATAAGCACTTGGGGATACACTAAGATGAATGAAACATTTCTACTTAAAACCACCAGTCATCCAGTAACAGCTCCCTTTTGTTAGGACATTTCAAAGACTGAAAACATCTTATGGCTGAAAAGTCTTCCTATTACCATTAACAAAAACAGTATTTTACTAAATAATACTAATAAATGAGAGCTGCATTTGTACTGTGTTCAGCAAAAACCATCAGGTGAGGATGTCAGCTCCCTGTACAGCCAAGACTCATGGTGACTTGCAAAATCTTGAAGTAGACCTCCTCTGAGATCTGCATGTTGCTGGCATACAGCAAGCAGATACCAATTTAGGTGGAGATGGTTGATCAAGTGTCAAGTGTTCCTACTTCTGCTGTGCCAGCTGAACTCAGAGGTTTAGCTGCAGATTACTTACTAACCAGGCTGTGCCCAAATGTCAGGTGTCACCTTTATCCCACATTAAAGGCCAGACATTCATTCACATAGGGCATCTCCACCTGGTTATTACAGCCAATTGCGAAAATTAAAGTTCTTAGCAGAAGTAGCAAGGAGATTTTCAAAAGCAAATTAGGATGGAGCAAGACATCACTTAATTAAAACCAGCTACCAATGAATTTAGTATTGCAAAGGAACACGGTGGATGCAAGCAGTGTGGTAAGTGGTTGGTGAGTAGCAGGTATGTAATTAGATTAACAGTTAAAGGATATCACAAAGCTGAAGTGTAGGAACATAGATTTAGCAATCACTTTTTAAACTACTGCATTAAAATAGAGGAACGCTGATCCAGGCACACTGCAGGGTGTTCTCTGTTTAGCCACAACTGAAAACTTGGGATAGTGAAAGCAATCTGCTGTATACGTACAACACGCCCAACTTATAATTACAGAATATTTAATGCAGGCCTCACTACTGAAATGCACCGAGCATTCAAACTACACCAGTCATAGACAGGTAGATAGGCTGTAACTAGGACAGATTTTCTTTTGAGTTATTAAGTATATTTCTGATGAATAAATGGATTTCTCCAATATTCTTCAATGCTACAGCCAGGTAGAAATTGGATGAAGAGACTTTAAACAAAGTAGAGGGAGGTTGCTGCTTAGGAAAAAGGAGCTGTCTGATCACAAAACCCAATGAGGTTTCAGGTATTCAAGGTACAAGAGAAAATTTACTGACTGCTCCTCACTCTGGTATATTATATATATACCTGTATATACATATTATATACAGATTTAACAGTGATAGGGACACACTTATGAGAAAAATAACAATTATCTTGATGATAGAAGGTTATGAAAAGAAAATACACTTACAATATTAGTACAAGTAAGGCCAGATCTGTATCTAAGCGTGAGAAGAAAGTAAAACTCAAGGTCAGAGGGAAGATGGATCCTTCATTTACATGTATCCTGACTGCCTGGACTCCCAAACCAGACCTCTACAAAATTTGTCATTGACAAAGATTATTGCACATACTGTAATTTCAAATGGTTAAACCTGAACAATGAATGCATAGTGTAGATCAATATTACACGATGCTGTACAAGTAATCACATTTCCTGAAAACAAAAGGCATGAAGCAACATGACAGCCTATGACTCCAACATGTCATTCATTGGTGAAAGCTACTTGAATTCCAGCTGCAGGTACATACATGCTCTTTTTCAGCCTTGGTTTATTTCACTGAAGCCACAGTCTTTAGAAAAACAACTGTGACTGTATACACTTAGAACATCAACAGAAGTGAGACTAAAGAAGGTCCATCTTCACTGATGAAAGTGCCCACCACCAAATGATGTCTCTCAGAACAAAGGAAAATTCCAAAGCATTTGAAAGAGCAGAAGGCTTGCTTCCCTGGCTGTGTTGTACGCTCCTACACAGACTGGAAGCTCAGAGGTAGGACAAAAGTGGCACGTGCCAAAATTATTCCTTGCTTAACTGGAGACCACAAATTTTTGTCTGTGAAAGTGAATGGGGCCTTTCTGGGAGCGGCTCAGCCAGCCTGTCCAAGAGTACCCCTAACTTTTCCTTAGCCTGCCCTAGAGCAGGCTCTTGTGGATTATGGGATATTCAAGCACTGACAAAAACGTATGCATAATAAAAGATTAAAAATTTAGTTGCCACTGACTTTACAATTTGTTCCATTTTTCCCAGTAGGTAGATCCTGGCTCACAATTTCACAGAAGTTTTGATGTAGAGTTTTCCTTGGGGCACTACAGTGCAACTGTACTTTAAAATTCTCAAACTTACTGTGTGGCTCATTAAAATCTCTCTTGGGGGTGAAATTTTAACCACCTCCCTTGTATGATGTCGTACATTTTTGGCACATGTTGACTTCCGTCTAATAATTGAATGTTATAAGGAAACTTCTCTGTAAATTTGTTTACTGTTGATTTACCAGTAATACAATTCCATTAAAGTGTTAAGTGTTGCTAGCCATTTGTTTGTTAAAATACACCTCACACAGAAAAGCAAGCTGTTAAAGAACCCCTAATAAGCATGCATCCTGTAGTTCACTGGTAACATGTATATCTACAGACATAATACACTTTATGACATACAAGTTTATTGGAATAAAACGTGAGTGACAGTCAGTATAGTACAGTGAATTTGATTCACCATTCCCATTGCATCTTGCTCATAAACAGTGATACCAGTGTACAGCTGGAATGAAACTGGTGAATCTATTAATTCTTCCTCATTTTAAACAATGGTTATGAATCAGAATAACATAGGATTATTTAAGTAGATCACATTCAGCTGTATATTTTAAAAAGAAAGTGAGGAAAATTGTGATTTTTGAGAAAAAAATCAAACACACAACAAAATTATCATGCAGAAGAAATACCTTCCATCAGGATAATGATGTTCATTATCCTAATGATGATTTGCAACAACTCTGAAACAAAATTAACATATTCCTTTTAGAGTTCTAACAAAATCTAGACCAACCTGTCTCTTTTGATACCTGAAGCCTTTTGTCATTACAAAATGCCCCTTGACCTCTTCTACCAGTGTATAATCGTTCTTCAGTGCAGTGGTAAATTACACCAAATTCAAGCTTTAAGATTTTGAAAAGGAAAGAAATGAATGCAACTCAAATTACTCATCATAAATATAAACAACTACTAATGGCAGAAAGATCAGCAATATTTTAATTGGTACAGGTAATCAAAGATTATACTGATGCTAGTAAACTGGAATAATCTTACTATTACTGTGATATTTGAGATATAGGTCATATAAAATTCAGTTTACAAAGAGAAGTTAATGCAATCTGTTCATGATCTTCTAAACTCTTACTTGCAGCTTATTTGCTCACATTAGAATAGATTAAATGCTAAGCTGATTTCAAATTCAATAAAATGTTTCTACTGAAAATAAGCAAAAGTTCTCTACAGCCAGATTCTGAAAGCTTTGTTTTTTTCACTGGTGAGCAGTTATGCCTAGGAGAAGTCCATTAACTTTGGGTGGACCCTAAAAATTTGCGACCCCAAATACACAGACATCATCAGTCAGGCATAGAAGCTCAGAAGTCAGGGTACACAGTTTAGTAACAATAGATACTTTTATTTGCATTTCACCTTTCATGGGCATTTAATTTGCCTGTCTTTTCAACCAAAGTAGTATCCTCCAGTCACTTTTTCAAATGTCTCTCTACAAAATTGTTTTCTCTAAACACACAAGTGAGAATCTCATGAAATCACGAGACTCCAAGAGGGGTTTGAAGAAAAATATCAAATATTCTTCGTCAAATCTCTCAGTGAAGGCTTGAGATAAGTAACACTGGATTCTTTGTGGGAATATCACTTCACGAATGAGAAGAATGTCCCAATTTGAACCTTGATTTAAACCCAATGTATTAAATTATCTTAATAGATTTCATCAAAAAGCTCTTGAAGGACTTTACGGACTTAAATGATCAACTCCTAAAATCACCCTTAGATAAGTCTACTAGCTACATTTTATTTAGAGGGGGACAGATACGCAAGCACTAAGTGACTTGCCCAAGGTCACAGAAGTTGGTAACAAGATCAAGGAAACATCTCAGATGTTCTTGACCACAAATCTTTCCCTGCTACCCTCCTCCATTCAGAGTGAGTAATCTCTGGTTCCTCCTCATGGACAATTCAAAGGGAATAGTCTGTAGTTTGTTCTTGCTCCTTACCCTGAGGTCCCATGTAAACCAAGGATTTTTTTTTATTATTTTTTTTTATTTTTTGAGGGACACTATTAATAGACTCTTTCCCTGAAGACATCTGCAAGAATTTCTTCAGTACTGTTCAAGGTTTACATTCAGGCCAGTTCCCCTGTGTGTACTTTGGCTCCTTTTCAGCTTACTCTTTTTTTTTGTTGTTGTTATTTTTCCCATTTGTTTAGTGAGGGAGTTTTAACATCATTCTTTATTTTTGTTTCAGCTTTGTTTAGTTTACATAACCCAAAATATGCAGCATCAAAATCACGATGGTGTTCTAGAAAACATAAATATTAGAGAAAACTGTCTGGTAACAATACATAGTATTCAAAAGGACCTCTGGGAATGAATAAACTTCAGAAAAGCATGAAAGTGTTTCTTCACAGTTGCCATGTTTGAAAAGTCTAACCAGAGAAGTACACATTATTCTGTTTGAATCCATAAGCGCTGCTAGCACATCTGAAAACTATGTTATTATTGCACAGAATTCTTGCTGACTTCAGTTACAGCTATATATATATTTGAGACTGTGGATCTAGGCTAGAAGAAGTACATTTTTTGGCAATTTGAATAGCTATTTCGTCAGTTTATATCAAACTGTAAAATGGCAACATTTGGAGAAAAGCCACTAGCACGAATGAGTGCATGGTTGGACTAGATGATCTTAGTGGTCATCCCAACCTTTTCCATGATTGATTCCATGATCTAGGAAACTTTAAAAGGAGAACAAATATGAAGGCTAGGTACTTTTTTTTTTTGCCTGTAATTAAGCTCTCATGAAGGAAATACAGTCATTTCACTGTATTACGAAAACTTCAAAGGCAGATTAAGTGATCATAATTTTGCTCTCTTCATAGAAAGCAGTTCCAAATTGCCTTACAGTAGCAGTTAATGTTCACAGATACTGTTAGCAGGAAAGAAGCAATCATAATCAACAGAACACTGGGAGATATGGTTAAATTATGAATATACTTAACTTGTCAGGATTTTGTCTTATGAAACCTTCCTCACACCAGCACTTCCTTTTTAATCACATAAATCCTGTAACATTTGTAATGATTTATAAGAATTTTTCTGTAAATGCCAGTTTGCATAAGTGAAATTTTGCAAGACTGGGATTTTAAGCTAGCAGAGTATGACCAAATGCATTTAAAAAGCATTTAAAAACCCTAATGGGAAAGCCTGAACAATGGTGGATTTATTTTTTAAGTTCCCACTTAGTTTTGAGGCTTTTAATCAAATCTCAGGTATTCATCCTAAAGAACATACTTCATACCTCTTTGTTAACAGCAAATCCAATGCTCACTGCCACTGTTGGAAATCTGTGAAAAACAAGAAATGAAGTATTATTGACAAAAGTTCTCTCAACTTCGCACTTCCATAGCTCACTTAAGCAACACAATCCCACCTGGAGCTCAGAACCAAAAAAGCTTTAATATTATGCTATTTCTCCTTCATCAGACTCTTTATCAGGTGAGTTTAAAAGTTGATTTAATATTTGAAAATGCAAGAAGTAAATACTTATACTTAAAAATATTAGGATCTTTATACTAAATGTGTTGTACATTTTAATAATATTTTCGCTTTAGTTTAATTGAATTCTCCAGTGCTTTTATAACAAGTCGTTGGTTTTTGAGAGCACATTTTGTTCCAGTGAACTGAGAAGGTGAGACAGCAATTAAGTTGCAAGGAGATACCTTCTGCTGACATCAGCATAAGGAAAACCTGTTCCTCTACCCTCTCTTTTGCCAAAGTGATGGTCACGTACTTAAGTTACTCCTTTTAAATAAATATTATTGTTTTTTAAACAATGAAATAAATTTATTTATTCAAACATATTTCAAAAAGGGTTATGAAGATCAAGAAAATATTGCTAGAAAGAAAAAAACTTCACTTAGTTGCATCAAACAGCAGCATGTGACCTCCCCCTCCTTCCTCACTTCAATTCTATACAATGACACCAGAAGTCAAGGAAATGCTATTTTTCCGCCCCTCAAATTATAACTACAGTTACATTAAACCACTAACTGTAAAGCAGAACATAATTCAGTTTCTTAAGTAGAAGTATTATGAACAATCATAGGTTTACAACTCCTGCTACTCAAATGATGAAGAAAAACTTTCATATTTTTGCAAAAATGACCCCTAGGTTTCTTATTTTTACAGAGCAATATTACAGGAGATTAAAACCACCATCTACATTCAGCCTAGTTTTCATCTAAGTGCAGTCTAGTTTTCATATGCCATGACTGTATTTCCCAGGAAAAATGAAACACTTGTATTTGAAAGGGAGAACACACCAGTATGAAAAGGAATTCATAACAACCGCGTACAGAGTAAGGCCAAACGTCATCATAGTACAGCCTTGTTTCTTTGGTTCAGCTCAAGTCTCTACATGTTAGTGTGTGGTATATATAAAGGAGCTGTGAGTCAAGAGCTTCTAGGTCATTAAGCAATCAGAAGAAATATTATCTTACCTTTAGACAACAGTACAGTGCTCTCTCCAGCACAAACACACACTCCCACAGATAAAGCATAAAATGACAGTGGGATGACTCCTACTTATGTGTCATGGGAACAAATTTACCACAGTAAAATGCCTTCAAGAAGAAGGGAGATTTTGTGAGAAGCTGAATTATGTCATTTAATGTATTTCTCACTCCATTGTCTACTTACCTATGTACAAAATTGCAGGTTCCATCGACAGGGTCAATAATCCAGGTAGGACTGTCAGTGAGGACACATTTTGAACCAGCAGCAGTGGATTCTTCTGCAATGAACCTGCATTTCATGGGGCATAAAATAAAAATCTCAGAAAACTTGCTCAGGTATGTGACTCAGTAAGTTTCACTCCATCTTCCTGTCTTTTGAAGAAGTATTTAGTTTATAAGTACATACAAATGTTATATACATACGCTCATATGTATATATAAAATTCATATATACACGTATACAGACATGTTTCTTTTTTTCATTAGAGAATGGGAAACTTTCACGTGAACTTTAAATGAGAGTTAGTGACTTCATAGCATACTATTTCACATGGTAAAAAAGAACTCCATTCATATTCACCTTCTTAATACACTATTAAAAAAGTAATGAAAATTGATGTAGAAATGGATCTGAATTGGCACTCCTGGAACTCTAAAGGAGGTTTCTCTGTGGAATGTAATTTTATGGTTGAGGTCTGTCTCTCACAGTAAGTAATATAAACTGCAAAATGTAGTTGCTTCCCATTGCAGTTAAATTCAATCAGCAGGAAGAAATGAACTCTTGCAAGAATCCACAACCTCACTCCTACTAAAATTTTTTTTAAAGTAGTCAGAATCAGGAAATTAAAAGGTTTACACAGTTGAACTTTCTTCTTCCCATGACGCAGAGAAAAAACTTTTTTTTTTTTTGTATGCACAAGGCACACATTGAAATTTGAGCTCATCTTCTTTCCCCATTTCTTTCATATCAATGTTTTTATTTTAATCTTTCTTCCCTGGGAAATGTACATTCAGTTCTGGAGTATTTCCTGCTGACCTTAATTATCCTTGCTCTCCCATAAACTGCTCAGTGCCTGTTTTTGTAAGAGCTGTGCAGGTTGCTACTCTCACAGATTTGAATATGGTTCTATATATACAGAGTGTGTAGAATTGGACTGCTGGCACTAAATCTCACTTTCAGTTTCATACTTGCCACATAATGTTGCAAGAATGAGCTTAAAACATCCTGCAGATGGCACAGATGGAGAGTTCTTGAATTTTCCCAGTGCTATTTTGCCTTTTCCTTATCAGAAAGGGACTATTTTGATGGTATTATGGACCCCCATCTGATGTAAGAAGAGAAGCTGCAAGAGTTTGTTGCTATTTCAATCTCCATTAGAGAGAACAGCTGAGGAATGTTTTAATTGTTAGTGTGCAACTAGAAAGCCAGAAAAGACTTGAAGAAGTGTTCTCAGTCAAGCACAGCACATTAGATTCCTTGCTCTATATATTCAATTATTTTGTCTCATTGATATCTTTTCCTTTCAAAAATCTTGTAATTAACCCCCACCATAAGCTCAGGCAGCACTCCTGGCTGCAAGTGAAACCCATCTTCCTGCAAATGGACAATGTGGCAGCTGGTCCTGTATCATCCAAAAATCATGCCTCTGTTTCCACCTCTGCCACATCCTTCATTGTAGCCATTGCTATGATGTTGTAGTCCTCAAATACAAAGCTCTAACACAAGGCTAGGGTACAGCAGTGCCACTGCTAGGTACTCATGTCCAAGGTCAGTTTTCCAAAATGGCTACAGGACAGCACAGTTTATGAAACTTTTGCTAGCAGGTAAAATAAGCCAGTTGCTGCTATACAATACTGGGTACTGTGATCGTTCGTAAAAGCTAACATTAGATATATTGCTCTATGGGTCTGTGTCCTGTAAAAACACACAAATAGAGCAAAATATTCAGGCTGAAGTCCTAAATTCCAAATGTTAGGCATAGTTTAAGAAGTGGGAGGGGTAGCCATGTTAATACAGTAGTTAATTTAACATGCCAGCCCTTCAGCTCTTTTGACCTCTCTTCAAATCTGGATTAAAGTTTTCTCCCACGGAAAATGAGTCCGGTAATTTTATCCTAGCCTTAGTGGACATCTGTTCACGCCTCAAAGCCACTCTAAAACTCAGTGCTGGAACAGCAGGGAAGCTGTAGCACAGCCCAAAGGACAGAAGGGGCAATATCCATTGGAACATTGAAAGCTCAAACCAGGGCTGCCCTTCCCCTATCCCCTTATGGGGTCTGAGGGCAAAATGCTGGCAGCCAGGGTTGGATGTCAGCCCCCCTCACGTCCGAGTTCTGACTGGAATGGCTCCAGGATTAAGGCCACAATTGACACCAAAGATGACAGCTTGTGTAACAATAACACAGCAAATGACACAATAACATTTTTCAGCCAGCAGTCCATGATATTCTGGCTCTGCTTATCTGTGCTATGAAGATCAACCAGAAAAAAAAAACCTTTTGGAAATATTTCCTTGAAGCATTTCAAAGTGCCAAAGAGAGTGAGAGCAAAGAAGAAAACTTGGTTGAAGCATAAATGGGAATGATACATGTCCCTTGGCTAAGCAGAGAAAAGAAGAAAGAAATATAGGATGGAATCACATTTTTAACAGGTTTTCTTAACACTTCCGTACTCCTGAGTACATTTCCAACATCTCAGGATGTATCACTGCCACAGCACAAACGGTATAGATCCCAACGAGATCTATTCTAGGTTTTTTAAATCCCAGGATACATTTCTAGAGTCAGAAAACATAAGAATCAAGATAACTTAAGGGAAGGAGAAACAACAGAAACTTTCATTGATGCTTTCAACAGCCAATTAGGGAGAGACTGAACACAGTTTAAGTGATCTTTTGATGTTTTCACTGTACTTCAGCTTAAACTTCGATTCCTTCTGTGGATTCTCATTGCAAGCATCTAAATTTAGTCTTCTAAATCTAGGTTTAATCTACTGTTTAATCTAAATGCATTCGCTATCTGAACTCCAACAAAACTCCAAACAAAAACAACCACACTATCAGTAAAAGTGAACTGTCTTGAAGAAATAGCAATCCCTTTACTTGCCTACAGCAATCCCTTTATTTGCTTTTGAAGTCAGAAGAATGTTGCACAGAGTCAGTAAAAGTCAGAAATTTTTCCATTTCTTGGTCTATGTTGACCTCACAACTTTTGTTTCCATTTTGAGTAACTTGAGTGCTTCTGTTGATTCCAGTTTCATGCAAAATGTGTATGTTTTATGTTCTCTGCCAGGCTGTTCAAGGAAAAAAGAAACAACAAACAGTGCAGAGGAGAAAAGAGCACTGCCAGCAACAGTAGATGGAATATTACAGAAATAATAGGCTTGTAAAGCCTGGCACTCTCTGGAGAATCACAGCCAAGAACCACACATTGTGCTGTACAATACTGCCTCAATATGTGATCACATACACCATGAATTCAGAAAGCCATATTTAGTATATAATGTTCTTTCTACTCATTCTTTTTTTTCTCTTCGTGTTATTTTCTTACAACAGCAGAGCCGACAAGCAGATTAGTAGCTGAACCCTCCAGATTCTCATCTTTGTTGATTTCTGCACAGTGCTAGATTGCAAGACTCTTTTCCATTAGAGATTTAAACAGTTAGAAGGAAGTCATGTAGTAATTAAGCAATACAAAGGCTCTGCAGGCAGATGCATTTTGTCCCTGTGTACCGAAGTCAACTGTGAAAATCAATTGCAGCGTCTCTGCATCAAGCCAAACCTGACCAAGTAATACAAAACTGCTTTCTCATCTGTCCATGTGCTAGGAGGAGGTATTTTCAAACTGACCTTAGTCATTCCAGAGGAGTCAACAATCTGATCATTTTTAAAACCTTGGGTTGAAACCCCATAAAATAATTTATGCCTTGTTTATTTAAATGCATTAAGTGATGGTGATAAACAGCCCTGCTTCTCATTGGTTTTAGGATTCTACAAAACAAGCACAAGATAAATCTGATTAAATACATTAATTGTCCTGATCTAGCAAATGCTTATGTATGATGATAAAAGAAAGTGATGGAAACTTCTGCAGGAGGGGATCTTTGCTATCATTAATTTCAGCTATATAGTAATACATTTTATTTAGCATAATCTTTAGAAGATAAGAGAACAGATTAGAATTCCAGAGATCATGGAGATTCATATGAAAACTTCATACAGAATGTTCTCACCAGAGAAATACCAATATTAAATATAGCCCAAGTAATTAAGAAACAAGGATTTAAAGACAGATCACGACAGAAATGTTAAGAAATACAGAGTGCTCAGTATTGGGCAGTGGTAGCAATTTAAAAAAGAATCCCACAAATGTGCCCACCATAAGAGGTAGATAAAACTGAAAGAAGCTGCTATGAGTTAGGAAAAATTAATGTTTACTAATGACAATCTGACTTCCAAGGACAGAATTTTAAAATTCCCTTTAAATGCTTGTCAGATATGCAGCTTCTATAGGAAAAATGGCCATTCATTGTTTTCTTCTACAGACACTTACCTGTGGGAGGGAAATTTCTCTTTCAGAACAGAAATAATCAAATTTTCCACAAAATGATCAGTCTCAGTCACAAGATCTGCTGCAGATGTCTTTGTGGACACTTGTTTTTCCTCTGTTAGAGCTTTCCTGATAATCTGAAAGAGAAGTTCATAAATCAGTCTTCAATGCCATTCATGCTGTGGACACTAACATAATACAATTACTAACAAAATTATAGCTAATCTTGAAAAGCAATCACTGGTCTAATTCTATCAGAACCTATTTTACCTCCTCTGAGTAAAAATCCTTTGGACATAATGAGCAGTTTTTGGGAACACGGCATTTGCAGAAACCTCTCTTGGCAGTTCAGAAGGGGATTGAGAATGGCATTCATAAAAGGATGATGGCAGTCATTGTGATTTAGGAAATTACAGAAAACACATGTAAGATTAGAAAGAACCTTGAGGCCCATAAATTTCCACACAAAGACATTTTTCCTTGAATATTTATATATTTATAAGGTCAATAACTCACTGCTCTCTTATTTTAAAAAACATACAGTAAAGCAAACTCCACCATTTTCTTTTTGCCAACAAAGACACACAATATTTAATTTTTCTTGTGTGTAAGACTGTTGGAACGTCCAAGTGCTGACCACCCAGTAGTCCCAAAGAATTGCTGTGTACATAACAAAACCAAAGATTTAGGCTTCTCCTCAGATATGGAAACAGTGATCTAACTCTGGAAAAATCTTAATCTCCTTTTAAAGGGTTTTACTGCTATAAGCTCAGAATTAAACCACATCGGTTGCAAATGCACGTATGGGAACACAGTCACTAAAAATGTTCCCTCAATTCTCCCCATTTTCTTTCTCTCTTTCCCCTTCACCTCTTCATTAAAAAAAATACATATATATATAGGGAAGGGGGGGGGGAAGAGTAGGATGATAATGCTCAACTAGGAAAAAGAGCTGCCTTATTTTTTAACCAGTGACAACTATAAACTCTTCGAAATAAGGAAAACCAAACCAAAAGAAAGATTAAGCACTGTTTATTTCTACACAATTATATTAAATGAAAATAAGCACCAAGACCAATATCCCACGTCCCTTCTACAACACTGATTTGCTGAATTACATTTCCATGGATCAAAGTATTTTAAAGCTACCTAAAAATAATTGGACCAAACAAAACAGTTCTGCTTGTATTATGTACAGGAAAGGAAGCCGGGAACTCCCTAATTTCACCCTCAGCTATTGGGTTTTGTAGTCTAAAATACTACATGTGGAGGAGCTTCAGATAGTTCTGAAACATAAATGACTTTGTTGACTGCTGCCTTAGCATGGACTTGGCAAATGGACTAACGTTTCTGCTTTGTGAGCTGTAAAGCCTCAGTTCTAACTATTTATCCAAACTGGTGAAGACAGATTTGAACATTTTGCTTCAAACTCTTGCTGATGTTCATTATTGTACACCAAAATATTAACTCCACTTAACTTAACTTAATCATTTTAATTCCCTCAATGTCATGCATGGTTTTCTCAGTGCTTTAATCACACCACTGTAGAAGCACCACTTTAAGAAAGCCCTCAGGCTGCTCCTCAGTCCAAAGCAAAATCCAAAGTGCTGCAACTGTCTCAGCTGTGTTGTGTAACCTCTAAAAAACCTGCTATGCTCCCGCTTTTTATTTTCATCACTCTTCTTTTCTTTTCTATTTCCTGTGAGTAAACGTGTTGCTGGACTCTGCCTTTCTTGCCTTTCTTAGCACCTTTGAAATATTAAGAGTCTGGAGCATAAGCCTTTTGGTGGCAGCTGAGAGAATAGGGATTGATCAGTCTGGAGAAAAGGAGGCTCAGGGGAGGTCATATCACTCTCTACAACCTGAAAGGAGCCTGTGGACACTTTTCCCAGGTTACAGTGATAGAATAAGAGAGAATGGCCTTAAGTTGTGCTATGGCAGGATCAGGTTGGATATTAGGAAAAAATTCTACTCCAAAAGAGTGGTAAAGCAGTGGCACAGGTTGCCCAGGGAGGTGGGGGGTTGGGGGTCACTGTCTCTGGACACATTCAAGAACGGTGTGGATGTGACACTGAGGAATGTGGTTAGTGAGCATGGTGTGACGGGCTGATAGTTGCACTAAGTCATCTTAGAGGTCTTTTCCAGCCTTAATGATTCTATGATTAAATCATGCAACAGAGAATGGAAAGGACAGAGGGCCCAAATGCCTTCTCAAGAACACTTGCCAGGACAACCACCTATAGAGAGGTGCTCATTACATGTTACAAATCTCATCTCACTGTTCTGCTTACCACACACTGACTTGCTTACAGTACTGTCCTGAAATATTTGTTCACAAGTAAAACCAAATGTCTAGATTGAAAGTGTGACTAGCTGCATATAATTTGGGAAATAACTATCTGTTTTGCTAGAAAAATCTATATTCCATAGATCCAAATATCCTAAAAGCAAAAAGAGGGAAGAAACCTTGGAAATTTCATGCCTCCCCCCCAACCCCCACTTTTTTTTTTTTAATTTTATTTTTTAAAGTGAGATTCTTCTGGGTCTCTCATGGCATACAAAATTATTTTCTGATCCAAAAAACCTACAAAAAGTACCTGTGGACTTCAACATGTTAGCCTCTCATCTCATTTTCTCACCCTTCTTTTAATCTTTGAGCAAATGTACTTTGGTGAAATTTCTCCAGTTATAATTGCAGAGAACTGTGCAAATATTACCCAGTGCTCAGAATAGCATCAGAGGTACAGAAACTGGTTATATTTGCTTCTCTTTAGCAGCAAGTCACAGTAAGCCGACAGGTGTACTTCTCACAAGCATAGCAAAAAGAGTTTACTCACAGAAAAAAGCAGAAGAGAAGGCTGAAAAAGTCCAGTTGTGTGTGGCATAAGAGTGGATTAGACATAATTTTAATGCAGGCCAATTACAGACATTACAAAACCTTGGCTACTCTCTTTAAGAAATACTCATTTATATTAAAGAAATGCCTGTTACATTTCATAAGACTAATGGAACTTTGTAACAGGATGGGAAACAGAAGCAGTAACTTCTGGGAAGCCTGGGAATGAAAGTTGCTCCAACATCACTCCTGAAGCATATTCAGGCAATCATTTATTTGTTGGCCTCCATAGCTTAGAAAGAAGTTTTCCAGAGTCTTGAAAGAAGATATATTTTACTTATACTCATGAACAATACGAACCCAAGAGTCATGTAAGCAAAAAAGAGGAGATCAGAAAACCATCTTGCTGGTTGTCTTTTTCTCGAAACTCAAAATCCTGACCTGCATGCCTTTCTTTGGGTTGGCCTCTACGTCAAGACTCTCAATGATAGTTTCTAACTAGAAACCTGCGTTAGATTGGAGAAAATGAGGGCCTCAAAAGAAAGGCTGAAATGGGAAAATTGCATGCAGAGATGGATGGAGATAGCACTGACTTCTGGGGAAACAGTGCAATCAGATCTCTAGTGAAGGCAGAGATGTGAAGGACAGGAAGAGAAACAAAAGGAAAAGAACATGCCCACTGGAATTGACTGGTGATCAAAATAAGACTCAACTGTATTCATTTTCAAAAAAATAGTAAAAATCTAGCCCCATAAAATCTAAGTTACACCCCACTCTGTATCCTTATCTCTAATTTATCTTGGGAGTAGTAGGAAGTGGAATGACACTTTAATAATATACTGTCCTGCCAGTTGCAACGTAGCAGCACTGAAGTGCAAATGAAAATGATGCAAACATCAACCGCTGTGATCTTCCAGGTCATGAAGGCAGTTCTGGCTATTCCCAGAATTTGAAATTTTGAGAAATAAGGTGTGGAGGCTTGAGCAAGCCATGAGAAGCTCTCTTGTGAAATGGCTGGCAGAACCAGCATGCTGGGGAACTCCCCTCAGATCCTGTGAGAGCACAGCTTGTCATTCCGATTTGGATCATCCATTTACTCCTTGTATTACTAAAACAAGTCATCCTGTTCATCTTTGTGTTTGCGCACGTGTGTTCTGTGAGCAGGAAAACGTGTTTAATGACACATGCTAAGGAAGCATTAAGGGTCCTGGCCTCAAGATGAAAACCGTGCTCCTTAAATAACAGCGTGCAGGTACAAAATACAGCAGAACGGAAGCAGAAGAGAAATGCATGCTGCTGAGCTTCGTGTTCTACCCGGTTTCTCCTCTGAGCAGTTCGCTGACCCCACTTCTGGGCTCTGTTAGAGCCAGGGAAATTCTGCTGTGGCACACAGCTCTGTTAGAGCCAGGGAAAAGCAGCACACACTGTGAGTGACTGCCTGCTGTAATGAAAAACAGCAAAGCCTCTGCTGGACTGCCCTGGTCAGTGAGTTTAATTCCCTCCGAGGACAGCGGTACAACAGGAAGATGCAGTCTCCCTGGCACGGCTATTTTTTTCTGCACGCAACCTGCTCAAACCCAAAGGTGGTACAGCGATGCACGGCAGTCCGCGCAAGCACACCGCGCAACCTCAGCTGTGCGTACATTCGGCCGTAGCATCACACCGTGCTCCGAAACGCCACAGCCGCAGAATAAGCGCTCGGCATACGGCTGGAAAAGTTACCAAAGCGGCAAATCTTTTTTTTTTTAGATACGTACAAGCGCTGGGACCACGCACGCTGCCTGCTCCGCAGGGCCGCCCCGGCTGCTCGCAGCCCGAGGTGACGGCGCACGACTCCGGGTCCTCCCCGCACCGCCGCGGGGCCGACAGAGCGCCGACAGCGCCCGCCGAGCGCCCACACGGCCCTCCCTCACCCCGCACCCCCACCTCCGGCTCTTCCTTTTTTAACGCTTAACCCGAAAGCGCACCTCCGCAGCCCCAGGGAAAGATGCTCCCGCCGCGGAGCAGCGCCGCCCCGCCCGTTCCCGGCCCTTCCCGACCCCGTCCCGCCGCGACGAAGCCCCGCGGGTGGGCAGCGCTCCCTGCGCCGCGGGAGGCGGCGGGGGGCGGCCCTCACCTGCCCGGCGCGGAGCGCCAGCTGCACCGCCACCTCCGCGCACTCCTTCCAGGGATCCCCGCCGCCCGCCGCACCGTCCTCTTCCTCCCCCTCCCCGCGGGGCTTCATCGCGGCGGCGGCGGCGGCTCCGCTGCCCGGGGTGGGCCGGGGCCGGGGGCCGGCTGCCCGCCGAGGAGCGGCGCGGAGGAGGAGGAGGGCGGGCGGGAGGCCGGGCCGAGGCTGCCGCTGTCACTCGGAGCCCCGGCGCCGCCCCGCGGGGAGGACTGGGCGGAGGGACGGAGGCCGCCGCGCTCGATGGGGAGGGCGGGCCGTGGCGGCCGGGCGCTAATTTTAGGTGAGCCCCGGGGGCGGAGAGGGGCCGGGGGTGGCACGGGGAGGAGCGGCAAGAAGGGCGAAAGGCGGTGGGGAGGCCGCTGGCCCGGCCCGGTCTGAGCCGCCCCGACCCGCCCGACATGGCCGCCGCGGGGCCGGCAGCGCTCGGCGTGAGCCGCTGTGCTGTGTGGAAAGCGGGCCTAGCGGGCTGCCGGCGGCTCCTCGGCCACAGGCAGGCGGGGGGGTGTGCGTGTGCTGCACGGCGTCGTGCTGCTCTGGGTGGCACTCCGGCACGCATATATGGGCTGGCTGTTGTGTGAGTGTGTAACCCTTAGCGAGGAGCTAATCTGAACAGGCTGAGCGATGGGCTGAGGCCGATGGCATGGCCTGCGACAGGGCCAAGTGCCGGGCCTGCTCTTTGGTCACAGCAACCCTGCACATCGCTACAGGCCTGGGGATGGAACGCTGCACAGAGGAAAAGGATCTGGGGGTGATAGTAGACAGCCAGCTGAACATAAGCAGTGTGCCAAGTGGCCAGGAAGGCCAGCGGCGTCCTGGCTTGTATGAGAAATAGTGCAGCCAGCAGGAGCAGGGAAGTGATCATCCCTCTGTACTCAGCAGTGAGCATCTTGAGTGCTGTGCTCTGGTTCAGATACCTCACTACAAGAAAGACATTGAGGCCTGGAGCGTGTCCAGAGAAGGGTGATGAAGCTGTGGGGGGTCTGGAGCACAAGTCTTATGAGGAGCAGCTGAGGGAGCTGGGATTGTTCAGTCTGGAGAAGAGGAGGCTCAGGAGAGACCTCATTGCCCTCTAAAACAAACTGAAGAGAGGCTGTAGTGAGGTAGGCTTCAGCCTCTTCTCCCAGGCTAGCAAGAGAACAAGAGGTTATGGAAGGCCTCAGGTTGTGCCAGGGAGGTTCAGGGTACATATTAGGAAAAAATTTCTACTCCAAAAGAGTGGTGTGGTATTGAAATGGGCTGCCCAAGGAGGTGTTGGAGTCACTGTCCCTGAAGGTGTTCAAGAAACGTGGATGTGGCATGGGTTAGTGGGCGTGGTGGTGGTAGGCTGACATTTGAACTAGATGATCTTAGAGGTATTTTCCAACCTTAACGATTCTATGATTTTATGAATATATGATAAAATTTGCAGAGACAGAGTGTAGGCCCTGGAAAATGGGAGGCTGGCTTCAGAGCTGTGTGTGCTCAGAAAGAAGGCTCACAATGGGGCCATGTGTGATGGTGTTGTCATGCTTAGGCTATGGGGGAGAGAAACGGCACCAGGAAGAATGAAGATACAATACAACAGCTTTTTAACATCAATTTTTTGTTAGTGTTTGAAAATGAGTGTGGCAACAAATACATTGCTGCCTGTTTTTTGCAGTTAGCTGTGTCGTACATGAGTTTGGGTTCCTCAAGGGTAAGGAGAATGAAGAACTTCCTGCAGGAAGCATAGGCCAATGTGCAGTATGTGTCAGCCAGAGGAGCTGGGGGCCAGTACAGACAGCTGGGCGATTCTAAATCTTCCTTATAGAGAAAGATGACCTGTGACGGATGTGTACTTAATGCAGTAGGGTAACCTGTCCTAAGTTGCTTATTGTGATGCACACTTAACGTGGAATTGAACAAAAAAGACCTGGGGATGGAGCAGAAAAGGAGCTGTCGCCTTTAACTTTTTGAAACAGGCATTAAATACACTGAGTGTATGAAACTTGTTTTTGTCATTCAACAGCTGCTCTGTGATGGAAGGTTTCATTTTCAGTGACCTTTTGGAATCTATATTAGTCTGGCTAGAATAAAAATGCTTTAGTGGTACCTGTATTTGCATTAAGAGAAGTATGTAACAGCAAAACTTATTATCCCTGATATGATATTGACAGTTTTCTAAGGACCAGGCAAAATTTAATTGGCATGGCTTGAGGTGATGTCAGGATCTTGCTGGGAGAGCTGTCCTGGGACAGTAAGTGAATATACCAGTGAGATCTCATAACACCAGCCTGAACTTTGGTAGCTTCTCTTCATGTCTCAGAACTGCTACAGCATTCGGAGACTTGCTGTGGTTAGGCTGATGTCTGAAACCTCTCTGGAGCTTGTGTTTTACAAACAGTGCAGTGTGATAGGATAGTAGGTGGGATGCAGAAATAACCTCACTGGAGGTGATGATAGGAAATCCCTGGTGCAGTGAAATGCTGTTGCAACGATGGGAAGGTGCTCCCCCCAGTATTTTGCAAGCAGGAGTGTCCTCTCTTAAGTGAGATTTGAGTGGTATTTGGAAATACCACTAGCTCAGTAGAATTTCCACAACTTCCTTTCCTACTAGTGGAAGGATATTAGCAAAAGAATCATAGAAGGCTGAGTTCTGAAGGCTGAAATAACAACTGAACAAACTCTCAGAATTTGCAAATTCATCTCAATTGTGGTGAAACATTGAAAACAGGACTGAAGAGCCAAGAAGAGTACTTAGGAAATCATTGACTGCAGCTAGTATTTTGACCTTTCAAAATATATTGCAAAACATCTATAAAGAAGGCTCCTATTCACTGATGGCTGTTTTATTACTTCTGTTCTGAAGTTTTTTCAGGCTTTCCTTAGCCTAGGCCTGCAAGCAGTAGGAGCTTGCTGCTGTGAGCTGCCAGTTGCTCTCACACAACCGCGTGGTTTGGGGCACGCTGCAGTTGTTCTCTGCCTGCTGGCTCAGGCTCTGGGCTCACCTTTCATGGCTGCCAAGGTCTTTCATAACCTCTGATCTTTCATAACCCTTAGTGCTAGCCAGTTCCTCGCACACGCGTTTTGTAATCTACACACATGCCATGCTTTTCATCCCATTGGCTTGCAGTAGACTCATCCTAGGTGAACTTGAAATACCGGTGTTTCTTGGATCTGAGTTCTTCTGAGCCTGACCTGGATCTCTCAGAGTTCAGGCCTCCTTTCCTGAGACCAAGAGTGCTCAGAGGAGGGGAAAATACGTTGCAAAACAGAGCGTGGAGTGCATGCAGTCTTTGATTTCCTTTTCTCATAAGCTGTGGAGCCCTTGTGAGTTAAGTGTTAGCTAGCTGGAGGTGGTGTCCTTCATTTCCTTTTCTAAACTGTTGCGCAGCATTTCTCTGCTGTCTGTGCCACCCAGATCCTGTTTGCAGCCAGCTCTGTCTGCAGTACCGAAAGTAGGGTCAGTGAGAAGGGAAGCTGCTGCGACTGAAATTGGTTTACTTACTCCTCAGTCATTCTCTTCTTTGACAGTAATTGCATGCTGCACTGATGCAGTACAATTTGTTGTAGTTTTTAAAGAGAGCGAGTGACCTCTTACAGCTGGCCAGCCAGCACCATGGAGGCTGCAGATGTCTTCAGGTACAAATAGCTGTCACTTCGCAGGTTTGATGGATGATCTCTTAATAGGAAATTAAATGAGAGCAAATGACTAACAGCTTTAATAAAAACGGGGAGGGAAGTGAGGAAGTAATCTGTTGGAATTATTAGCCTGATGGTGTGAGAGAGCATTTCCTTGGCATGACAGCTAGTGGCTTGCTGCACTGTTATTAAAGCACTTCAGCATGATTCCATACAGGTGGTCTTTTTACACAGCGTAGGATTATATTGGATTAGTCACATAAAATTGATGTTTACTGTTTCTAGCTCCTTTCTGTGGAACTTTTCTCAGTACCCCACCAAGAATGAAGTTTGAGGCTGACAGTCTGTCTGTAAGAGGTAACCCTGATGACAAACTTTTTTTTTTGTTCAGAGTACTGCAGTGTGGCAGTAGTTTTAGTGTATTTGTCATGCTGCAGAGTAGATTTTATGGTTGGTAACGAGGATGCTTGGTCCAACTTTTTTTTTTTGGGTGTTCAAGAGGAGAAGGTACATTGTAAAAAAGACTTTCTTGCTGGATTCCCATGAAGAACCATGCACGTGCTTGTTCTGCTCCATCAGAAACAAAAAGAAATTTCCAACAATGGCAGTATTTCACATAATGCTCATTAGTGACTCCGGTCTGCACTGCTCTCAGTGGTGTGTTAATTGTTCCCTGTGTTTCCTTTCTGTTGCTCATACCCTGACCGCATTTCTCCTCTGTGTCTAGGAGGCTCTGAGGCTGCTGCTCACAGAGCGCCCTCCACATTCTTCTTCCTGCCACAAATTATCAAAAAGTTAGTCTCAAGCAGTATTTGACCTTCAGATCTGTTCTGGGAGTTTGATAACATGAAACTAACTCAATAACTCAAGATTTTTTAACTTCAAGATCTGACAGATTATAGCAAAATGGTGTCCTTCAGTGTTTTCTAGAATTTTCAAACTGGCTCCAAATCAAATCCACTCAGGTCTTTGTGTTTGATATACAGAAAATAGTATTATTTGACTTTGGATCTGAATTCTAAACTTTATAGTTGGCTCTCTTCCACAGTTATGCTAGGGGTCAGCATAGCCAGGTTGCTTCCTATTTAAGGGAAGGATCCTGAATACAAACTAGATTTCTGCTTTCAGATCGAATCTCAAACTGAAACGCCTCCATGTTGGCCGTTTGGGTCAAGATTGTTCCAGGATTTTTCAGCAGGCATTTGTCCGTGAGATTGACAGGGCTGGTTGGGCCAGAGAATGTAATGTCTAGAAAGAATGTGTGAATATTTCAGTCTCCCACACAGAAAGGGACTCAGGAGCCATCTTTGTTACAGCTGGTAGATGAAAGAGGGATTAATTTGAGGCAGATGGATTTTTTTATGTGTTTTTTTACAAAGGCATCTAGATTTTCACAGGAGAATTTAATTCCTGGAAAATCTCCTGAGGATAGTAGGTCTATCTGAGAGTCAGAATGACATACGCGGCCCTCTAATCTGTCTGAAAAAAAA